TCCAGTGGCGCCATCTATGGTCAAGAATTCAACATCTGCCACACCATACGTCACACCCGTTTATACGTTTACCCGTTTTGACCTGAATACGAAAACGATCGATCTCCAATCCAGTACCCCCAGAGGTATTGATTTTTTATGAGAACATGGAGGACTTCTGCGACTCGACAGCTCGACAGATTTAACGTGCACCAGTCACTTTTCTACACGGGGAGTCTTCGGTCGGAGGGGTTTGAACCCACGAACTCTCGGACATGGGCCCAGCGCCCTACCGACCAGGCTATCCCTGCCCCTTTTTCATCAGTTCAAACTATAATAAAAATGCATTTAAAAAAAAATTTTAAAACTGAGAAACGTACAAATGTTTTTTTTTTAAAACCACAAATCGCTTAATTGCTTTAAAGTAAAATATTTAGCAATTATTATATTTGCTTATTGGAATAAGAGCCTCTATTGCTTAGTCTTGTGAGAGAATTGATCTAATTGAAAATACAATTTGATATGACCTATAAATTTATAAACAAGTCTGATTTTTACTACAATCAACATGTTTGTTGCGCAGTTTTAAATGCATATCGCCATTTTTTTCCATCTCTTATCATATCTTGTGTTAGCAGAGGCGATAGATATAATTTAAGGCCTGTGTTGTGTGTTTTTGAAATTCTAGAATGTTCGATATGGTTTTGGATCGAATGATTTTCTTATCTTACAAGTGTTAAATCTGGTACTCAACCATCATCGCATTATATATCCGCATATAAACCCTGAAGGATGATAAGAAATATGGTTGTTTTTCACTGTTTTTCAAGTTCATCTGTAAGATTACATCTGTTGCAGAAAGTTTCTGTGCATTGAGAGAGTCGTTTCATAACAATTATGAATTTCAAACTAAGGGATTTGACTGATAAACAAAATATGCAGTTTTTGAAATATCCAGAAGGATTGTGAAGGAGACTAACTTTATATTTATATCGTTGACTTATGTTCTCTCTTCGATATGTTTTTACACAAGATTATCAAGAAAATTAATCGCGAATTATGAAAATGTTAAAAAATTCTGTTCGAATTTCAAAAACCTTCACATTGTTTGAAAATAAATCTTCAGCAATTGAAGAGCTTGAGGAAAAATAGTTAAATGCCACACTTTTTCCACAGGTTGACATTTTTAATTTACATTAAACTTTTCCTTAGTATCGTTTCACAAAGGATACCTTACAATTAGAAATTGAAATAGCTCAATAGGCAAAAACATCTTATTGCTTTCAAATTATCTTATCAAGTGTAGCTTATCACTATATAACTCTTTAATTAAAAAATAAAAACACTATCCACACTTTAAAATTTGTATTTATTATTTTACATCCGTTCGCGGTGAATTTTATTTTAATATTATTTTATTTTATAAGTGCTGTTGAACAGCCGACCCATTTTTTGCCTATACAGCTATCAATGTTAACTGCGAACCCAGAAGACATAGGCACCTTCAACCCAGAAGACATGGGCACTCCTGGATCAAGAATTGGGACAAACTAGCCTTTGTGAAGTTTTTGATGAAAATTTTCCTTCATTTGTATTACATAGAAACCTTTTATGTTTAGCCCTCCAGAAAGGGTCATGATCCATACCATTGAGAATATTTTGCGTCAACACTGTGGTCGGTTTGAGATGGGAGCAGAATTCGTAATGATTATCCATCGCTGGGATTCGAACTTGGGGTCACAACATAAGGAGTCGAGCGCCCTAGCTCCCTGAGTCATAAAGGCTAGTCAAAATATAATTGAAGAAGCCCGAATTAATAACAGTTATTAAAAAACTAATTTGATTGCTGTAGAAAGTTTGAAAGTGCTTCGGAAATTCAGTTTACTACGGCAATCAAACAAGTTCTAATGATTTTTTTATTTTGTTTTTCTCGCTAATGATTTGACAGGTTTTAATAGAGCTTTTTTTATGCTTAAATAGTTATTTGTGAATCGTAAAATGTAAATTTTTTTAATTCAGTTTTATTTATTTTTTTACTCAACCATGTGATTTAAATCACATAGTTGTACCTAATCACTGGGTTGTGTTTGGTGGGTTAGCGTTAAAGCAATAAGGTTTGGTTTATTATAACGCTGAATCAATTTCCAGATCAGATTTAATTGGATACCTGTAAACGACGTCACGTGTATGCTTCGATTCTGATTGGTTTCTGAATTGTTATATAAACGAATGCTACGATTTATCCACGATGGCGTGAGTTGCAGGTATCCAATTTTATAACAGTCGTTGAACAGCCCAATTTTGGGTTTGAGACTACCAATGTTCAACTCAGTAGACTTGACCAGAAGACAAGGGAACTCCTGGGTTAAGTATTTGGAGAAATTTGTCTACGTGGAGGGGTTTTTGATGGAACTAAATCTCATTGCGTTACAAGGAGAGGGAAATCACAAAAGTATTTTACGGTTAGTCTGACGGCAAGGGGACTCTAATCAATAATCCATCTACCACTGAGGATACCACGTCAGCACTGTGCGAGCCTTAAGCGGAATTCCTATCGACTAGCCATCGTTGAGATTCGAACCCGGGTCAATTTATTCGGGGGCGAGTGCTCTATCCTCTGGCTTTACTCCTTCAGTTTTAGTAAAGATTCTAAAGATATAAAATAAGACAGTGATGCGAGATTACGGAACTGCAGCAAATCAAATTTCGGTTTACAAACGAGTGCAATGAAAAAAAAAAAAAAAACGAATTTTCGGGCAATGTGGTGCATTGGACACGGACCCCATGTGCTGATGTTCTTCTTATAGCCTCAAAGCGAGCCGTAGCACGAAAAAAATATCCATATATAGGCAACATTATCTACTGCCATATCATATTTTCACTGTTGCGATTACACCCATTAACATTTAACGCTCATCGAAAATTGCCAAGCGCAAAAAAAAAATGACTATCAAAACTAATTCAGATCGTGCGTTCTAATATCTAAAAGACTCGGCAAATTCGTGAAAATCCATTTCCATAATAACAGCCTTCCAGATAAAAACTAGTTTCTGACCTTCATTTAACAAAGGTGAGAGTTAACTTCGATAGGGCGTACGGAAAAACCTGTCCAATAACGATACGCGCCATAAATAATAATGAAGAACAATTTCTATCCGAACCCGTAATAATGGTACACTATCTTCCAAAGCTCGGTACAATCATCACTGGATTTATTCCTTTCATTAAAGTACACGCCATCCCCTCCACGGAACTTAAGTAAGAACAGGTTTCGGAAGGTGATCTTCAACATCCGGGGAGATTATGTTATTTTTTACTTGTTACTTTTTTTGTAACAGAGTCTTGTTGGTGTAGATACTGTTCCACGCGGGTGATTTTTGATTATTTGTTTGTCGTGATTTTTTTTTTCTCTCGTTTTTTGTGTGACGTTTCCTGCGGTAGTTTACCAGTTCTCGGTAATTTGCGGCAATGAGGCGTATCGGGTTGTTGTTGCCGGAAAAATAGAACGAAATTATTGATATTTATTTATTTTGTGGAAAATAGAATAAATTATCTATGCGAAAATCTGCGTGAATAGTAGGTATTTATTGTTGTGAGTTACTTTTGAATTTTGGCATCTGCTTTTTTTTTTACCAATCAGATCTTTAAACCAGTCAAATAAACTGATAAGTTTGTGTTTTTTTTCTAATAATATTTATCTTTTATTTTGTTGTTCAAGACTTCACTCGAATTTCCTCTTTAGATGCAAGATAAAATTGCCACTTCTATTATTTGTAATCACTTACTGGTGGCACATAAATAAATATAAACCATTTTTATTATTATAAAGAAAATCATTCTTAAAACATATACAATTTGATCTGCTTCCCTACTTTTTTTTCCTTTTACCATAACCTTTAAATAAAGGTCAGATTAGCCAAACGTCCGAAGGATTTATTTTAAACCCAATTTCGATTCAAGGATTATTTTGAATTCAGCTTTGATCGAAAAGAATCTATTTTAAGTCAAAGGATATTTTTTAAAACCAATTTCGACCTAAGGATATATTTCGACAAATAGACCCATCCTATTTCAACCAGCAAAATAATTTGGGTCCTTAATGGACCAATATCCTCGAATCTTGATTCAAGGTTCAAAGGGCCGTTATTTTTCGATATTGGCCCTATATACAATGGCCCGATTCGTACAGCCATTTTACAACCAACATCGGCCCTATATTGAGTTGTCATATTCACTCGATATTTTATATTCATTATTCAACCAATATAGGTTTTATATTGGTCGTATATATAGTCCGATATTTGCCCTATATTTACCAATATTTTATTACCGTCGTTGAACAGCCGACTCAATTTTCGGGTTTACGACTACTAATGTTCAACTCAGTAGCCTTGTAATTTTGAACCCAATCCAGAAGTCAAGGGAACTTTTGGATCAAGTACTGGGAGAAGTTTGCCTTCGTGGAAGACTTTTTGATGGAACCAACCCGCATTGGCGTTACATGGAGAGGAAGACCACTAAAACCTCCCAAGGTTAGCCTGTCGGCAAAGGGACTCTAAACCATGATCCGTCTACCACCGAGGATATGTCACGTCAGCACTGCGGTCGGTGCAAGCCGGATGCGGATTTGTATCGACCAGCTATCCCTGGGATTCGAACCCATCCTAATGTTGGCCCCTCGGTGGATGTTCATATAGAATCCATATTCCGCCAATTTAGAGCCCAACTGCGGCCAAGGTAAAATTGTTACTATGGTATATTTAAAATGAAATTTCAACACATGGGTGAATATATTGACTAAAGACTGTTTTAAATGCAATTTCGAGCAAATATACTGACTGTTTGAAAACCATCGTTTTTTTGTTGTTGTCTGAATTATGCAAGATGTAACATTGTCTTAGAGTTAATAAGTAAGGAACATCAATGGCGAAACGGGTGGTTAAAAATTATGTGTCCGATCTGAATTGAATAATTTAGTTTAAGAGCTCATTAAAATTCAAACAGAAAAAAAACACAGATTCTTACTATTTGTAAAACTTTATTTAAAAAAAACATTAAATTCAACAATTCAGACGATATTGTACAAACAGTGGTGAAAAACATCGAATATCACAGGCATTCTTATAAATGTTGAAACACATGGCATATAACTAGGATATAAACTTCGAAAAAAATAATTTACAATATTTTTAAACTTAATGGATATAGTCCTCATGAACATTCGATATGCATTTTTTTGCAATAATAATCACGCACAAAATCAGTTTTTAACTTTAAAATTTTATTATTAAAATCAAATAATGTAGAATTTATGCAAAATCAAAGACATTTAAACAGTTTTGCAATAGACTGTTTTGTGATGTCTTGCATTAATATATATTTCTAGAATCCTTGATAAAAGTCAAGAAAGTATAGATTAGTTATCTTAAATTAATAAATATTTAAGAGCGGAAAAACGAAACCGCTATTGAGGAAACCAAGATGAAAAATATCAAAAGTAGTGATTTCTTCGATTTCAGATGCGTTTTTGTTTTTTCTTTGTTTGAATATCAATTTGTGATCCTACAGTGATATTGTTTTGCTTTAATTTTTGACAAAGATTCTAAATATTTATATTAAAGAAGGTCATTACAAAAAATGTTACATACATATGAATGAATTTGAACTTAATTGTGTCAAATGATCAATAATGTTTAACTAATAATTGATTATTATCAGTTCATCAAAAGCCGAAAGAATTTTTTGTTGTTCTTTAGTAAGATTAAAGTTATTAGTTAATTCCACGGACTATGAACCCATGTCAAAGAAGCCTAGTAAGTCAATAAAATACTTAAAAATGTAGTAAGTATAGCATTAAGCTGGCGTTAGACAAAATTTCAATTATTAAATGAATAAAAGGTTTTATAAATAACTATTATTTATATGGTTTTATTAAGTTCATGCTATACTCTTTGTAATAAAATTCGCAACTAAAGGTTAAGCGATTTATCCACTCTCCACACTTTTCCCTTCTCTGTTACCATGATTTCAGCAAATCTTGCTTTTCTCCATGGCAGTATATTTCAGTAAGAAGTCGTATTATTTTTTGGATAGGGGAGAAAAACGAAGGCTTGTCGAAATCATCGCGTTAGAGTGGGGAAAAGTGTGGGGAGTGGGGAAATAACTTAACTCGAGACATTTTTTCGATTTCCAAAGAGTGTAAATAAATTAATACTCTCTAACCTTTATAAAATAATCTGTAATTCAATTAACTTTAAAATGAAACTTAATGCAGGACTATTATTTACCCAAGTTTTATAGTTTATGTTGTGTTATGTTGGTAGAACCTTCTCGCATAGCTTGAATCACCATTTCGTACACCAAAGCTGAAACTTTGGTTTTCGTTTCCTCTATCAGATGTAGGGGCAATTGCATAACAGTTTGGGCTACATTTTTGAAAAAGACTTCGACGTCCTGTTGAGTACTGTTCGTCGGTGCACTTTCGCTTATCGTAGGTACTAGTTTGTAAATAGTTGGCTCTTGATTTGGTTCAGTTTTTATGGAAGAGGCACTGTCAAATGAAAGAGTGTCATTGTGACTTGTTTGTGAGGAACTTGGTGTGAGACTTGCAAGGAAACTTTCTTCTTCGTTTTGGTTATAGCCATCATCTTCGATTTCCATCTTGACTACGCATAGCTTCAGTGGATCTATTATTTTGCTCTCGGCAGGTGGTGGTGAAGGGGTTCTGGGTCTTTTTCTTGGTCTAGGCTTTGGCTTAGGTTTCGTTTTAGACTTCCAGATACCAGTAACAGCTGCTTTAGTACTGGAAATCAAAAGATATAGCATTATAATAAGATATAGTCATCAGAAATGTAAGCTATTTTAACATACTGTGTCTTCTGTAGCATTTTAGATGGGTTTAGAACACTTGTAAAAATAAAGCAAAAAGCGCATGCCACATAAGGGGTCGCAAATTAATATTTAAGTCAGTAAAAAACAAAAACGCTATCAATTTACTTGTAGAGAATTCGGTGTGAACATCAAAACCTGTTAGATAGTCTGACAAAACGTAGAGATTTTTTTAACTATAGTTTTTTAACTCTTCTGATTCTTCTGGCAATCAAACAGGTCTTGTTTTTTTCTCACTTTCTTCAGTAGTGATTCGTATGTATATATTTTTTTTAACATTTTGTTTTTCTACGCCTAATTATTAGTTTGAGACTCCTGATGCTTTTGCTAGTGACTTCATTATTAATTTTAAAAAAAAGTTATTTATTCAAAGAAAGAACTTTTTGTGTCTGTTTTTTGTAACTTAACAGTTCACCTAAGAAGTTAGTTATTTTTACTTCTAATAGCAAGATACATGATTTTGCCAGTTTGAAAAAAGAAAATGTTTGAGTCTTAGAATTAAGTCGTGAACACACTATCTGTAGTCTATATGTGTTATTGTCTTGAGTATAATTTTTAAAAAAATTTTTGGGTGTATTTTTTTAAATTAAAATTTCTAAAGCTACAGATTTTTTAAAATGACATTTTTCGTTGATGTTTGAGATTAAGGTAAGCATGTAATGCGATGTATGACCACATTTCCGGGCATGGGTTCCTATGCAATTTTAATCCTAATTATGTGCCTCCTAGAAGTTTTTCGCAGCACTTACGCGTTACTTGTTTTATATATAACGTTTTTAAGCTTGTACATTTCAACAAAAAATAGTCTAAAAATGTCATTTAAAAAACTGTAGTTTGGAGAGAAAGAAACTGATTGCAGAAATAAACGATACGAAAATGTTTAAGATCTTTTAAAAAAATCTCGTGCAACAGAAGAAAAAATGTTCCCAGTGTTATCTTTCAACATTAAACCTAAACTTTTTTTCGAAAATTTAAATAGTTTCATTTTTTTTCTCCCTAGCTCAAGAAACCAGTAGAAGAACCTAGCGATGATGGCAGTAGTTCTATCGACAGCAAAGTGATCAAAGAAGAAATAGACTCTGAGACTGAATTACCAAATATATATCAACTACCTCTAAAAAGGAAATCATACCACCCACTGACACGCATGGGCCGCCCACCACACGCTACACATCGTGCTAGAGACACACTTGAAACCTCCCACTCAATTACCTATAAAAGTGATTACCAAACTTCCATGGATGCATTTCCAACTGATCCTGCCTCCGAAAAATTTCCATACGTCCCCGTTTCTGAAGGATCATCACTTGTCCCTGTATCTGAAGGATCATCACATGCTCCTGTTTCTGAGGGATACTCACGTGTCCCTGTTTCTGAGGGACACTCACATGCTCCTGTTTCTGAAGGATCCTCGCATGTTCCTGTTTCGGCTGGATCTCCACTAGTTCCTATCCCTAACAGTTCCGAGGCTAATAAATCTGAATCAACTTCAGATCAACCACCAGCAGTAAACGTATTTATCTTTCAGGTAAATTCCGGAGCCTCACCACTAATACCTAATTTTGAAATCAAACCAAGAACCATTCCAATAATGCCTAAACCTGAAACTATTCCACAAACAACAAATTGTGACATCAAATCAGGAACACCAAATTTCGCATTAAAAAAGTTACCTTTTGGACAAAAGGTGCTGCCACCCACCTTCAGTTACATGTCTTCTCAAGAATTAAACAACACTTCATTACGTGGAGTAAAAATACCTAAAATGCTATATGTAAATCAATCTGGCACAGCACCACAAAATATCGCCAAGACAGAATCATCGATTCCACATCCTATATTCCTGACGAATAGGAATGCCATAGCAATTGCACCAAAGCCCGATGAATTTATTTTACCCGTCATATCGACAGTCACATCTGAAAAGACGGGTGAATCTATGAGCGGAAGTTTTTCAACAGCATTCAATACACTGGATCCAAATACAACTAACACTTCGGATTTCTCTAAGACGGAAGATTCCAAAAACAAACATCAACCAGCTGAAAATTCTACATTAGCAAAACCAATCCGAAATCCAAAATTTGAAGACCTGGAAATTTTTAAAAGTACTTCAAATAAATCCCAGGATGTAAGTTCACTTGAAATAGACGGCGAACACTATATTCCTAAGGAGATGGACAGTCTGGACATTTATGGTCTGCATGTCGCCGAGCGACTGCGAAAGTTGGAACAGAAGACAAGAGAGTTTGTGCAAAAATCAATCGACGGTCTTCTGTTTGATGCGGAAATAGGTTTGGGTGATTTTCCCTTCGAAATCTCTCAGTGCAGTAAGTCTTCGTTAGACTCACCATCGACCCTTGATGAGAAGTCTGAAATATTTGACAGTGAGTCTACTTGGTCAGCATTATCTGATCAAGCATAAGACCTGCTTTTAACTGGATTTTAAATCAAAGCTTTGTCTGTGATATACTTTATGTACCTAATGGATGTGATTCACTTTTTTCTTTGGAGAAGTTCAGTATGGACAGCCAATAAATTTCAATTTTTTTAAAATTGAAAATTCATTTTTACCACTGCTGAGAAATGGTTAATTTAGGGCAGGGATGGCGAATCAATGGCACGCGTGCCATTTATGGCACGCCACATAATATTTTGGACACGTAATATCACGTGCCCAAGTAATATCACGAAGTTCACTGTGAAGCAATTTACCAATTAAATTAAAATTCACAAAAACAAACATAAAAAAATAAACAAAAAAATTACAATTAATGCCAAAAAAACAATTAATTACCATAAAAAACTAGCTAACAATAAATAACTAGCAAAAACAAATCAACAAACCTGCTTAAAATAACATCTTACAACCTAATATAAGTTATTTGTCATCTAATCTGCAACAACAGAAGTCACACTGATGTTACTTTAAGGTGAATTAAGCGTATAACTGAGACATTCTTTTTCATAGTAAATAAAGAGTTTTGAGTTGATAAGTATTTAGAGTTTTTCCCAATAATCACGAAGTCAAAATTGTTTGACGGCACATCTATGACCAAATTAAACAATTTTTTAGAAAAAATGGCACGTTGGTGCATGAAGGTTCGCCACCCCTGATTTAGGGGGTCGTTCAAATATTACGTAAGCATCTAAAGGAGAATGAGTCAGTGATTCGCTCTTTTTTCTGCTGGCAAGAAAAAGGTGGATGAGCAGTGATAATGTAAGACCGCAAATTCCTTAATTTTTTATTTTTTTTTAAATGAAAAAAAAGTAGCAACAAATTTAGAATAAATTACTTCTGGAAAATTTACGGAAATAAAATTAAATTCAGGAAAAGAAATGTTGGAGGATTTCTTCACGAAATTTTAAAATGATACTGTAAATTCAATAAAAACGTAAACTTTGCTTTTGGCAAAGTTAAATTTTTTTATTATTTTAATTTAAGCCTAAAATCCTTAAAATTTAGATTACTGCAGGAAAAAGTTAAAGCAAAAAACAAGGGATTGTTGCACTTTTCTTACGTAATATAGAAGGGGATAGAAGCTAAGATAAACTTCAAATGGTTTGTCTGACAGGGCCCATCAATAACATCAAGACTGCTCATTAGCATTGATTGGATTTGCAAAGAATTATTATTTCACAAGAAAATTATCCAAGTCCACACTTTCATTATAGTAGATATTTTATGGATGTCTTTAGTACCTAAATTTTTTGCCTACACACTTTAATTGGTTTTAGGAACACTCGCAGTTCCAACTTATCACTTACAAGTTACTTTTAAAACTAAATAGTTTCATTATGTCTATGTTTTTTCTTAGTTTATGAAGTGCATAGCCATCAAATTTGGAGACTTTGAATGCATTGATTTCTGATGCAGAGCATTTCGAATCGGAATATTTTGATTTCAATCATGTTTATAAATATTAAATATAGGAATTTAAAATTGTTCAATGTTCTTCCCTAAAAAATTAGGCATTCGGTAAAGTTATAAAAATACTTATAACCAAAGTTATAATTTGGTAGCAAGTTCAATGGAATACAGATTTCAATAAATAAAATTAAACAAAACTTTTTCAAAAATATCGAATAAAAAATTGTAGAAAATATGAAACATGGACATGTTTCATATTTTCTATAATTTTTTAGCACTAATAATTAAATTACCTAATAATGAAGAATATCAAACCTTTAGAGTAACTAATTCACGAAAAAACTTACTTCGTACAAGAATAGCGTTATTAGATTCGTAACGCGTGACTGTTAAATCAGGTAAATACATAGAAAATCGATGCTTCACATTCAATCGGATGAAAAAGAAACACGATATTAGCAGATTTCGGCGCAGTTTTAAATATTCAAAATGGCGAAAATCCACCAAATCAAAAGAATCGAATTGGCGGAAGAATATGTATGTAAACATCTCGTTAGCGGGATTTAGCAAAAGTTTCAAAATTTCGTCAGAAAAGTTTTTTAAAAATAAAAAAAAAATCTGAGATAAGCAGAATTCTGCGAATATTCGTTTTGAAAATTACATGCCCTGCTTTTAGACCCGATCTGGGTTAAAAGGTTCAAAATGTTCGGTATTTTTGGAACAAGGCNTTCGTTTTGAAAATCACATGCCCTGCTTTTAGACCCAATCTGGGTTAAAAGGTTCAAAATGTTCGGTATTTTCGGAGGGGGGGGGGGAGGAAACGATTTTATGATACAATAACAGTTGGCAAATATGAAATCCCCTTAGTCTGAAGAGGACCTTTAAGATAAAACATTTCAATCAATAATTTAATCAATGACGAATTTTTTTAATCACGTTCTTTTCAATTAACAAGAGGTTTATATACATATTTTTTTCTCCATCTCGTATTATTATTACTATTATTATATTTTTTAACTAGCTGAATACCAGTTCTTCGTATGAGGTTGAAAAAAAGAAGAAATAATCGGTGAAAAAAAATTATCAATTAATCGATATTAATCAACACAACGAAATCAAACACAAAACTGAAAAACATATACCGTCGCCATTAATTCAGCTAAAAACAGTTCCAATTTTATTTTTACTTTTTGTTGTTATTCCCGGAGACTTAATGTTATCATATTAAGCAAAACATGTTTTTAGAAGTTCATCACTTTAGTATAAAGATTAATTACATTCAGTATCATTTAGAATAACGCTATAGCTCGAGGTAACTCCAAATAACCAAAAATTACCATAATTAAAAAAAAAATTTTGGGGTACTTATTCCTTTCAGTGAGCCGTAAAAACCTATTTCCACAGTATCTTGTACTAATATTAATAAATTTAGTACCTATTACTAAAATTAATTAAGTATCATTGGCGTCAATAATGAGGCGATGTTTACCTTTTCTCCGTTAATTTTGCTTTTTAGGACTTTTTTTTAAAAAAAAAATTTCATATTGTACCTACGACGAGATAACCGATGGTAGGATAGGGTTTTAAAGTTGACAGTTAGGTCAATCGTGTCCTCGAAAGTATTTGTACCAAAAATTTGAACAGAATTTGTCTAAGGAGCAGCCCGCAAAATAAAAAAAACGGGCCGGTCGAATTGTTCTTGAAAAATCGGAATTTTGAAACAGTTGTATTTTTAAAATTTGATTTCTTAGGAATAATTCGACCGATTTCGCTCAAAATATTGTATTTTGCCATTTAAAATTGCATTCTCTAAAATGATGCAGAAAATTGTGTACCTTAGAATTCAAATTTTTTTCCAACTAATATTAAATGAAATAATAGATATTTACTAAAAGTCAGGGCTCGAAGAAAGTCAGAAATTTTACCCGTCCCCGAGGACGGCTTGTCCAACAATGTATCCGTCCTCCTTTGTACCCTCCTCTTTGGATAAACGAATTTTGTAATTGAGTACAAATATTTTTCAATTCGCTTAAAAAGGTTTTGAGTTCAAAAAGTAAAATTAATTTTAAATATTCCAAACTTTAACCCCTCTCTTGACCAGACTATTAGGACCATATTTCCCAGATAGCTCAACCCCTGTTATATTTTTTGGGGTTCAGAAAATTGAATCCGCCGGAAAAAAAAGGTATTTATTCCGAGAAGTACATTTTTGTGTCTGATTTCGTAACTTAAAATACCATCTGTACTAATTAGCATATTAGAAATTAATCCCTCGAACAATTAAGATAGAATCCTAGAACGTGAAGATCTGATCATTAAGATCAAAAGTTATTCAGGGTGTTCCATTTATTTATTGCGCACTGTACATACGTGAACACACGTACTGGTACATTCATATAAACATTTTGCTTTATTTATATAGATTTTTAAGAACTCCCATTATAAGGTATTATTAATAGTGATTATTCTTAAAAATACTGAGAAATGTAAAAAATTTAAGTATTACCTCGGTTTTTCGGGTTCTTCAGGTTTTTGGTTTTGCGCTGAAGGCTCACTGAGGCCACTTGTACCTGCTTCGGAAGTTATAGGTTGCAACTGCAGCAATGAAGTCCAAACCTGAGTTGTCTTATCACTTTCAGTATCTAAAAATATCTCCCAGTAAATACTAATGATAACAGTACTATACCATATCCCTAACTTAACTATATGTTGCCCGTTATCTATATTTTTAGAATCCTTGTATAAAAAAATATACACACAAGGAGTCTCAAGTTATAGAATAAGACTAAACACGTATTACAAGAGTCAATATTTTAAATGTTAAAATAATTTTTTATTGTAGAAAATATATTCAAATTTAGAATTGTACTTATTGGGGAAAAAATCTTATAACTTCAAAACTATTTATCCTTTTAACTTAAATTTCATTTTATGTAATTCAGTATACTACAAAGATTCATCGAAAAATGTACCTCACATGTACCCTACAGCCAGGGCTAAAGAGAATACAAGGGCTAGTTCACTCCGCTCTTAGAGCTGAAGCTACGATCGCTCTTAACCTAAAAGATAAAAAGAAACATTCATTTTTATTAAATGGATGTCCAATATATATTTTTTTTATTAATAAAAGTAGAGAGAACGAAACAAACGTTAAAGTTTATATCGGCGGTAAATTGATAATGACTTTAATACGAGATATGTGTTTTTTCTTATTTCGAGTTAATTGTCTCGAATATTCTGAATTACATCAGAAAAAAATTGAAAGTCAATTATTCCCCCTTGTAATTGTGTTCATTTATATTCAGGCAAATTAATTAATTTTTTTCCTACAACATTTAAAAAAAGACAAACAATGAAGGAAATGCAAAAAAAAAATGAACAAGAATTCTATCTTAAATTCAGTGAAAACACCTAATTTTGATGGAATTTTGAATGTATTAAACCAGAGAGAAATGTGACTGTTTAAAATTTACTTCCTGCTTTTGACTAGAAAAATAATTTGGGAATATTCAAAGAAAATTTGTTTTGCGTGTTTTAACTTTAAAATAAGCTTCTGTAACCATTTTTGCACAATTAACTAAACTTCTTTAAACCATTAAAATCTACTTATAAATAGTGTTTTTTAAATCATTTTGAAATAAAGAATACAGTTCTGACCGACAAGAGTGAACTATCTAACTGATTAATAAAACTTACTTATTTTTGAATAAAATTACAAAAAATGTAGCTTATTCAAAAACGATATTTATTGCCGATTATTATTATAAAAATTAGAAATGAAAACGATTATTATTATAAATAAAAACGATATTATTATAAATAAAAACGATATCATTATAAATAAAATCGTTATTATTGTATAACGATTATTATTCTAATAAAAACGATTATTATTNTAAAAAGTGTACTAAGTCATGTTAAAAATAGTACTTTTTATACATGAAGAAGCTTGTAAATTTTTAACTATACGTTTTATTGATTCGTTTATAGTCTTACTCAGATGCAGCGTAAGAAAAAAAAAATACATAGAAAACAGATTGTCTCTCTTACTTAGATAGCAAAGCGTAAATAGGTACAAGTACAAATTTGTGCTTTTTGTACATGAAGAGCACTTATAACTTAAGTCAGATCATCTCGAGATTGGTTTTATCCAATTCAGTGCGGAAAAAAAGAAAGAAAAAATTATATTCTCCTTCTCAAATTACCCTATTTTCCACAAAAAAAGAAGGGGGGTGGGTAAAAAGAAGAGTAGTGAGGAAAATAGTGAGTTTTCAGGTGTAATTTAGAATGGCATAATAAAACTTATTGTCAAAAAATATTTTGGAAATTTTTTATGAATAAATACCTTATTTTTACAATAATTTACTAGATTACAATCCTACTTATATAATCCTACTCCTTGTTATACCCGGTCAATATGAAACATAGTTATTTTCTTTTTCCTCTCCTTTTAAAACGCTTAAAATTAATTCATGGTACTGTTGTAATAAGAAATAATACTTAAGTTAACATGAATAAGCTTAAAGATATGAAGGAAATATTAAATATGTACTTAAGAAGTAAAAAGGGAAGAATGAGTACACAATTTATGAATACATATTACCATCTGCAGGTGGTGTTGTCGAAGTTTTTCTTGGTGATGTATTTTTGCTGCTTGTATCAAATACTGATGGCACATAATCTGGGTCAGACGGATTCTTGGATGGTTGTCCTAAAAATAAAAGATTTTTTTTTCAATATTTATACATTATTTCAAAACATTATATTCAAGTACAATAACATTTGAACACATTCATCGCAAGGTAAGTAGTGTCTAGTTTTCACAAGAAGTCCTCCAGACTAAAAGCCTGAGGTAGTCTGCTGCTATGAAAGAGAATTAAAGAAATGGAGCGACGATTAATATTCCAACCTAAACCAACGATAAATTATTAACCCCACACCCTAATGATTTATCTCCGTTACCACAGTAATAGCCAGTCTCTTGTTTGGAGGAGTTCTCGTTGTAGCTGGACAGTGATATATACCTCGGCTAACACTAATCTGCCTTGCCTTCTATAAGATATGTCAACGAAATTTCTTTTGTAAAATTAGTATGAGATATTTCGTCTTGTAGGGTTTCCCCCCTGTGTTAAGGGTCGATTATCATTTTATATTACGTTTTCTTTCATATTTTTATAATGAACAAGAAAAAAAGACAATAAGCTTGTTTTAAAAGACATTCATTGTATTTAAATTTTAAAAAGATAAATAAATCTTAACAACCATATACGTGTTGAAACGCAATCTTATAAATAAATGTATCATAACTCCACCAGTCAACCGTAGCACTGTCGGTGATTCTAGTTACGAGGTCGAACTATTTCAAGTAAGGGTAAACATTTGAGACAAATTTTGACAGAGTTCGGCAAGGAAAAGTATCCAAAAGCTTCCTTCTTTAAAACGTGCTTTTTTCTCTTTCCATAGCAACAGACAACTCCAGAGTCTGTTGCCGAATGGGTGTAAGTGTTCTTTAATTGGTGACAGACTTTCAAATAGAAATTGTATGACAAATCAATAGTGAATGTAGTAGACTTCGCTTTAGTTTTTCTAAGAAAAACTCTTTTTTAGAAATAATTTTTACTTTATTTTAAAGACAATCCTGTGAAATATTCGAAAAATCTACGATTTATTAAAATTGTTTTTAATACTAAGAGGAATCGAGCAAAAAATTCAAATTATCAATGCTAGATCGTACTTTGATTTTCCATAACCTGAGCTGCTGATATACAATAAATTGAATTTTCAACACTTTTTATGATTTCAAAATGATCACTTAAGTCCGTTTCGGTGAAAATAACTAGCTACCGATTCCGGAACAAGTTGAACATCGGGTCTAAACATAGTAAAACGGCTACTGAGCATTATTAGATTCTTACAGTGGCGCGAATAATGCATGGTCTCACTGTATACCCTATTATATGATTTTGATTTTTCATCGTATTGATATTATAAACAAATAGAAACTGGAAAAAATGCGATTACAATGAAAAATCATGCATAAAATACCAGTTCAGCATGTTGAAAAATCTTAATTTTCAAAAACATTATGCACAATAACAAATGTACATGATTACACTGAATAAATATTATTTATAAGAAAACCAACCTATGTATAACAGGATATTAAGTATATTTTTTAAAATATTACCTTACATAATTTATTTATACAAACAAAAATAAGAAAGTTTTAAGCTTTTTTTATACAAATCACAACTAAATTATTTAGTTAACCAGAAAACGATTATTTCTTTAACCCTTTGACTGTTATGGGTGCACATATGTGCAAGCTATCGGTGTTGATTAAGGACGCTAATGGTGATTGACGAAGGCTTTGTCTGTTTAGTCTATTTCAAGTGTATGTTTGGAATTCGTTTCTCTCGTATAGGCCAACACTTGCAGAAATCTCATACCTCGTTGCTTAGCAACAAGAAAAAAATGAACATTGATCAGCAAGTCAATATCCAAACACAATTCATTATAACAACTAAATCAAGGCGTTTTAAGTTTAAAACGTAAGCATTTGTGAATAAACAATTTTGTTTATTAACAAATAAACAATGTTTGGTCAGAATTGGAGAAGATAAAGTAGTAATAGTATTTGGATTGCGGTTTTTTTTTTGATATGCCACCGATAAAATCAATATTGCGCGAAAAAATTTTTATAAATATTATTTACATAGTTTGCACATATAGTTTTAAAAAGCACAATATTTAAAAGGTTCATACAAATGTTTTTTTTTTATATAAATAAATAAGTAATATTTTTATACAAAGATTTTCTTTAGACACATTTATCACATAATCGTTTTAAAGATATGATGATGAAAACCATAATGAAATAAATCGAGATAATAGAGTTCGCATTATATTGCGAATGTACGCAGCATATAAAAAAAAATATTAAAACAATATCATACAATGTTTAAGCATATTAGAAAAACGAAGTTCATTGTAAAATTACAGAAACGTTTTTATTGTACAGCAAAAAGGTGAATTAAAACAATGGAAAAGTTACAAAAACCGATATCGTAAATAATGTTTAAGCATATTAGAACAACAAAGGGGCAATATAAAATGATATTGTACAACGTTTAAGAATATTAAAACGGAAGTCAAAGTGAAATAACAAAAACGATATCATACATCGTTAGAGTACATTAGGATCAAAATAAAATTACAAAAACGATATTGTACATCGCCGTAACATCGAAGATCAATGTAAAGTAATAAAAATAATGTTGTGTAATGTACAACTATAGGGCAACGCTGAATAACAAAAGTTAATAGGACATTACAAAAACGATATTGTAAAATGTGAAAGTATATTAGTACAACTGGCTGGAAAAAAAATTTAGTTCGTAGTACGTAGGTTCCGCACGTTGGTTCTGCGTGGAGCAGGTACTATCTTCAGAGCTTACGCAAAATATGCGTACATGAATGTTCGGTATGCTAAGTTAAAGTGCAAAAATCTTCCGTTTTTGCACTTCCCACCCCTTTACGTACATTTGGCCCAAAGTAGCTCACTAATGACTATTGTTAATTCAAACATTGTCTTTAGAAATAATACACATGTTGTTTTCTACGAAGTTTATACAAGATCGTTTGTTTTACACGCATGTCGTAGGTCAGTAATGCAACAACAACGAGATATGTCGTCCTAATCAAATATCGCAACTCTTAAAATAAACAAGTTTTATACTGATTCTTATTATTGTCAAAGTGTAGATGAATGCCGTAACAAATTCACTGTTGTGAAAAAGCTTTAACACTTTGCATTAGGAACAAATTACTGATCACAACAGAGCAAATATTTATTTTTATGTAAATATAATGTACAATATGTCGCAGTAACATAATAAACAACAAGGTTTCATAAAGCATATACCAATTCTTAATTGACACATTTGTTGATTTTCTCTTCGAAAACTTTCTCCGAATTGTGAAAGGTTAACGTTATGAAGCGATTACTCGTATCATCGCAGGTGATTCGTAGTTCGATTTCTATACAAATATATTAATTTAAAGATTCGTCATTCTAATTTGCATATTAGAATGAGTTTTAATCCAGTTAATTTTTCTTCTGAATAAAATCACATGCTTTAAATTCTTTAATTAAAATAAGTTATTTCAAAACTATTGATCGGAATACATCGTTTCAAACATTTGAACATTCTGATATTGATCACATTAATGATTTGCTTAGCCTAATTCTTATGACCTTAATTGCGATTGATCTCAAAATTGTACAAGTCTTAATATTAATACACTATATGTTATTACCAAATGATTTTTGCAATTTGTAATAAGGTAAAATCAATGCTATATAATCAATGCTAATAAATTTTTTTTATCTAGTAACTAGATTTTGAACAAAGTGATTTTATAATATACAGGCAAAGTTTGGAATCCGACATTCCATAGAATGCCTAGGCATTGTATATGAATCATCAATAAATCATTATAATCATATGAATCATTATAATCAATGCTAATAATTTTTTTTTATCTAGTAACTAGATTTTGAACAAAGTGATTTTATAATATATATGTTACCGGCAAAATTTGGAATCCGGCATTCTATAGAATGCCTAGATATTGTATATAATGCCTAAAGCTAGTCGGCAATGTATGAAACGATTTATATTTCACACATTTCCTAGGCATTCTATAGAATGCCAAATGAGAATTCGGCAAGTATAAAATACATCTCCGATTCGTCAAAATGTCATTCAAAAATGACAAATTCAAAACGTCATTCAAGCCTGCCATGTTGCAACAAGTAGGTTGATTTCTTATTTTTTATATGAAAATTTTGTTTCCCTTTATAAAGCATAAATTATGTTTTGTACAACTTTCATCTTTCATATAAATTGAATAAATTTTTTTTAATGGCACTCTCATTATTATCTCAGAATAACATTTTTATTTCTGAGAAATGCACATCATTTACATAATAACCTCATATGGACGTTTTTTTTCCCTTCATACTTTGCCTAAAGAGCATTTGTCATTATAGAATGCCTAGGTATTATATACAATGCCTCGGGAAAGTATGCAATACTTTTCATATTTCATACCTTGCCTAAAAACATCCGGCATTATGGCTAGGCATTCTATAGAATGCCGGCGTTTCATACTTTGCCGGTAACATATACAATCTTAACTGATGCTAAAGTAAATTTTAAATATGCTTTATTGATCAAAGCAAACTGTAAAAAAAAAAAAAAACTATTTTAAATCATTAAACTGTGAGAAAATCCTATCAAATCAAAATTACCCCTGGTATTTTTTAATAGTGCTATTACCAAAACTATAGAAACAGATTGCTTGTAATTATGAAAGTTTAATACTAGTAAAAAAATTCAAAGCACTTTTTTTAGGAGTAAGTGATTTATCGATTTGACACTGAAAGATATGGGGAATAACATCCTCTTTCAATTTATATCTTTTTGCTTCCCCTGTGATTCGGTACCGCCAGTAATTTTCCATGTCATCTTGTACCTGGAAAAGAAAAAATCGAATTAATCAGATCATAACGTGAAATACGAAAAGTTTGTCCAAGAAAAAGTACATTTATACAAAGTTAAAAAGTTGTTTACTCAAGGTAGGTCATGGGCTGGTTGCTCACAATACCTTAAAAAAAATTTCCTACCCGTTTCGATCTTACGTAAG